TATGGCTTAAGTCACTGGCAAAAGCTCATCTAACAAAGATTCTGCTGGTTGGATTTGCTAAAAACTACTTGTTTGGTTTTGTTTTTCTTCAATGGCAACCCCTGCAGATGTTCTATATGGAAACTATAGGTCACAGTATGCATCTCTAACATTTGCAAAAATCTTTTTGGGAAACAGCATCCATAGGACCAGTAGCAGTCCAGATCTTGCCCGCTTTCTGGGAGAGAGCCTAGCATGTTAAGGCTTGCTTCCTCAGGCTACTCATTAGTGTATGAAGTGGTGGCTGATTAACAGGCTGATTGGCTGAAGGTATTTTGATGTTCTTGAAACTCTAAAAAGTGACTGTGTCAGTGAGACACGCAGATAAGCTGAATTGCATGTTCATGCATACAGAATTTGTTATTTTTGAACGACAGATGAAAAATCCTTCCTTTGAAAGAGCAAAATCCTAGTAGAAAAGCTGTTTGAGAGAAACAAATGTAAAGACTTGATGATGCCTGTGTGCCCCATAAAACAGTATACAATGCAGCCTGTGTCCTGCATCTCAAACTATGGGGTTTTTTAAGTTCCTGGAAAATTAAGTGGAAGAGAGCTCTTTCTTTGCATCTTCTGATGCAACGTATGTGTTCTCTTAGCTCCTACTTAAAATACTGCACGTATTGGAACTGTTTCTTCTCTTTGAAAATGGTTCACTGTTAGCCTAATACTACTAGCCTATTGGAATTCTTTGTCCCTATGTAGTGAGTTATTTTCCCATTATTCCGTTTCTTTATTTTTCTAGTTCCTGAGATCACTTTCTATATTCTTCCACTTGTGATATCTACAGATTGTAAAATTGCTGCCTTGTTCTTCCTGGCAACTTTTCCTCCCGGTGAATCTCTTCTTGACTAGCTGTAGTGTCTTCATGCATGCTGTTTTACTTGTAACAATGAAGCAGCACTGTCCACATAATGCCTCTTTTCTTGTGGTCTGTTAAGTTTTAAATACCAGATGCTTTCCATAATGAAAGCCATTTTTGAGTCCAATGCCAGAGAGAAAGTCAGTGCTTCAAATCTAGTCTTTCTGGAGTCAAATACCTCGGCAATGCGATGATAGTGAACAACGTATGTTACTCCTGACGTATCTTTTACTTGCATTTTTCTGCTCTTTGTCTTCCCACATCTCCCCAATTTTTCTCAACAGAAGAATGATTCATGATTTGAGGGACATTTTGGATTCAGAACACACATGGTCAGACACATTTAAGTAGACTTCTGTCTGTTGTAAGTCAGTACAAATTGCCTATTACTGCAAAGTTACTCCATCTTTTTCTCCTGTGTATGTGGATCCCACTGTCTATCTTTAATACCTTATGGGAATACCCTTGAGACTCCTTAGCTCCTTAGTTTTCCCATATGAATTTTAACAGTTTTTACAACTATTGGGAGAATTTTAACAGTAAATTCCAAGGCATGTAACATACATGTTTTCATGCACGTAACTTGCACATTTACTAAACCAACAATTTTAATAAATGGATACAGCAGCCTGTACTGTGTTAGAAATGAGCATACTTAGGTTTTGTGCACTTTAAATAAAGTAGTAAGAAGCTTCTGCCTCATAACACTAGAAGTACCCTTATACTCAGGTGAATACTGCAAACAGAAAATGCTCACTTCTGAAGAACAGTTCTTGTCAAATTAACTATTTTGCAGTTCAGAACGTTCACTAAATGCTTTTTTTGGCTGTCTGAAGTTGCTTCTTACTGCACTTCTGGTTTGTTCATTGTCTGCAAATCAAGACTCACATAAATCCTGATTTCTGGCACCACCCAGTACACAACTGGCTGTGTGTGCACAGCCTGTTTGGCAATGCTTTGATAGAGTCCTCAGTAAAGCCCAGAGACTCCCATGCTTGAATAAACTCTTGGGCTCTGGTTTCTCTTGGGGTTTTTTTGGTGTTTTTTTTACTATTTGTGTGTCTCTGCATGTCCTACATACATTGTCAGGTGAAAAGCTGCTCAGAATGCAAATTTTTGGAGGTTTGGCAAATATAATCAGTAATGGCATCTGCATTTGGCCAGAAGGAGTTTTTTTGACAGTCACTGATATGATTTGAAGATAATCATTATTTACATCATATCTGGGCACCTATATTGCAACTTAATTAGCTTAAAACACAAACCACTGCAATAAAGTTACTCACATATATGTAATGCTGGACCACCTATTCTGGTTTTGCTCTGTGGAATCCTTAAGCACTTGGTTTATGTTCCTACTGAATCCTCTTTTAATAGCAACAAATAGGACTTGACTGTCCTAGGGTCCAACTCTACCCCATAATCTGATCAGCATTGGTCAGCAAAAGGAACTCAAAAGCTTCATCAGCATTACCTAGTTGATCTGTATTCACTATGCCTCGTTAACAGCAGCTTCTACTAGGCAAATGCTGCAAACAGGTATAGTTGGTGTACACTGAAAATTGTATTTCAGCACTGTTAAAGCATCACCAAAACCAGGTCTGGCTGCACCTGGCAGTTTTCAGCAGGAGAGACCCGCTGTTGGCAGCCAAGTTGTCTGCCTAGTACAGTCACTGCCAAGGATGCTGAGTCTAGACCACAGATAATGTGAGATTTGAGGATTACATACTCAGAAGTTGTTAGACCATTTGAGGCTTAACTAGACTCTGAAACTTGCCTGTTTTGGATTAAGTGTCATTAATGTAGTTACTGTAACTAGCTAATAACAGCATTCTGTACTGCCTTTAGCACAGAGCTTTTCATCATAGCTCTGGACTGACAGAGGCTAGATAATGGAATTAGAGCAACGATGCCTGACGGATTTTTTTGTTGTTGTTGTTTGCTTGCTTGTTATAAGAAAACCAATTAAATTCCATGTTACTTTGTGAAATTAAGTGCTCAGGACTGAATTCTGCAATTCATGTGTGAAGCACTTTATGGTAAAATGTGGCATTCACTTCAGTTTCCATGTCTGCCTTGTAGGATGCATTGGTAAGTCTGATCTTCACTGGCATAGGGTTTTTTTGATACCAGTAGCGTGATCTCCAGTCAGTGTTAGTCTTCTGGATACTCTCTCAAATGTATATTTGCTCATAAATGCAACTGAAGTGTTATCATTGTAGTAGCAGCACTCGGTTTTACATATGATCATCAGTGATTGCTGTACTGTACCAGTGGCTTCTTTCATCCTTTGCTGTCTCTAGTGGTAGGCAATACTAGACTCTACTTCCTCTTCAGTTTTAAATTAATTTATTCTGTCTAATTAAATGCCCTCTTTTGTTACAGGGAGGTGAAAAGAGGCTGCTCATCAATTTGTTAAATCTTATTTCTCCTCCTAAAGCTTATACTTGTTTTTACAGAGAAGCTCCTTCTAGACTATTAATCTCTTCTTTTTTTATTCTATCACTTTTCCTATTTCCTACCATTTAAGAAGGATACTAGTGCTGGATTATTATATTTGGGTTTTGATACAGTGCTGTTTAACAGCAATGCCCTCTGACATAGTATACGTACTCCTTGTCTGCTATAGTAGTTCCAAAGAGCAAAGGGTAGCTGGAGGTTTCCATGCTTCTTATGCCAAAGTCTCTGAAATACGCAGCGTGAATCCTTGTAACAGCAGCTTGAACACTTGAGATTTTGTGCAGTTTCTGGGGAAAACCAGTCTTGAGCCTTCCCAGGATGTAGAATATTTCTAGGTACATTGCAATTCTAGTGCAAAATTTTCTTATTGTGGAGAAAATACTCCTAGTGTCTGTGACACCTCCTTGTGTAACTGTAGGCAATGCTTTTCACAGTCCTTTCTAGCACCTTTCAATGCAGAGAAGAAATGTTCTTGATACTTCCCTCCACCAACTGTTAATAGAGAAACATAGAATGAGCATGTGTTTTTAGTGTCAAATCTGCAGCATCTTGACACACTTTGTGGATTTTTAACTTAACAAAGTCATTTCTAGAGTGATTTGCAGCAGATTTGCATAGTAATTGGAGTGGGCCAAGGTTATTTAGAAATATTATTGCTTTCTTACAAGCTAATCCCGCAGTATGCATTCCTGTAGTCCACAGCAATAACACTGTAACTGAATGTTCAGCATATCAGCTATTGGCCTGTAATCATCACTGCCCTCAAAACAGACGTATCCTGTTCTGATATTTGTCCAAGGATGTATCTTCCCTTTTTTGAAAAAGCAGACAAATTCAATGTAATGTCCAGTGGCTTCAGAAAACTTCTCAATTTCACTCTGCAGTTTTGTTTTCTACTTCCTGTCTTTTGTATGTTACCTCTATCTACAAAATACTTAATAGTTCTGTTCATTAAAGAAAATTAGTCCCTTTGGTACCACTGAGCACACATGGGTTTAGTCAGTGGTTACCTACTAATGTAAGAAATAGGGCAACTTTGATAAGGTCTTTAATCTAGGACTTCAGTGGCCTGTTTCCTAGCACTACTGTAGGCTTGCTGAGTGAACTGTGGCAAGCTGCTCTGCTCACTGTTTTACCTGACTGAATAGGAGGAGGAGTACTAATCATAACCATGAGACATTCAGGCAGATTCAGCTGCCAGACTTCTGGGAAAAGTTAAATTTAAGTGGTTCTCTCAGTTAAAAGCAGTTGTGTATTTTTATGTGCCACACTAAGACTGCAGATTGTTTCTTAGCAAGTCTTGCCTGGACTAGCTGCATTTATGTTGGAAATTTTCTTTTTTTTTAAATGACCTCTAAGCAGTTCAGAGATGAAAGTTGTTATATGCTGAGCTGTGAAACATAACCTTTTCAATATCTTCCTCTTTCCCCTTCTGATTCAGGGCTGTCTGATTTTGAGTGATGAACTGAATCATGCATCACTAGTGCTCGGAGCAAGACTGTCAGGAGCAACTATTCGAATCTTTAAGCACAACAGTAAGTATCAGAAGGTGCACTCTGACTTTCTGCAGATGGTACAGATCAGATGCAATCTCTTCTATCTTCTAATAGTTGGAAATACCATTTCATGCAAGGAGATCAATTGCTGGTTACCTGAAAGGTCAGAAGACTGCTGCTACTGAGAATTTAATCATCCTGAATTGGTTATTTTTTTTTCTGTGTTCAGTCTCAACCTATAACATTTTTATCCTGAAGCTGTTCCAGCTTACATCTTCTGCATATGAACAGGAACATGCTGCCCTTTGCCAAGTATAGGGGCACTAGTGTTTTAACATGACTTCTTGTTACTTGGATAGGTCAGCATGGTTAGACTATTCTAACAGTCAGTGTCACATAGTAATGCGATCCTGAAGTGGTCTGGGTTACAATTTGGGGGATCAGAAAGTTTAATTTTAGGACCAGTTGCTGACATGATCCTACAGTAACAAAAGCTTACAAATGCAGATGTTCTAGCTAAACTAGACAGCCATGCATTGGTACAATGTAGTACAAAAGGAATTTTTGGGATGTGAAGGATAGATTAATTTCACTGAGTTACTTGCTTTAAGTATTTGTTTCCAAAACACACAGAATTTTCACTTTGCTAGTTTCAGCTTCTTCCAGAGGAGGTATTTAGAATAAGAATTTTCAGATAAAAAATCCTTCTCTTATTCTCGGTGAAAGAGGTACCTGGTTGTCCTTGATTAGTAAAGCTACTGCCTTCATCTTCAGCCACTCCTAATACTCTTTATAGTATCAATCTCTGAGATCATGATACTCTTGCTCTCTTTGAAGTGTGTGGTGGTGACAGCAAATCTTGGGTGGCTGCATTTATTTTCCTGTCTTTGTCCTGCTTGATAGTGGATTCTCTGCTGTGCCTACACTTTCTTTTGTGTTCTCTCTTTGTTGTTCTCTATCGTTTTGAATAACTTTCTTTACAAAAGTGTAGAGCTTACTATAACATTCAGTGATTTTTTTTTTTTTTTTTCCTTTAATTCTTCATAAATCTTGATTGCTGGGCAAGATCACAAAAGCTTTACATTCAATTTCTGCATTTGTATTGACATACTCTGAACATTGCATCCAGTTCCAAAATTTCAGAGAAAACTAGTGACAAACATAGTTCTGGGTATGAGGAGAAGGACTTAGAAGCTCTGGTGTGATGCGACAAACTAGCAATGGTGAGATTGTGGGATATTTTAGAAGCCTTATAGATGATGATAATCTGTGAAAGAGAATAGAGTGGCAGAATAGAATCAGAAGGCAAAATGCAAGCAATGATCTTGGGCTGTCAGGATGATGTTCAGTTCATAGTTATGTATGTGTTCTCAGTCCTACTCTTGTTATACTCTATGCTGCCTTAGTTAACTTCATTTTCCTGAGATGTTAATGGCTTCATTCATATTCTGCTTTTTAGAAATTATGGGGAAGGAAGGAAAATTCCTCCTTTAAAATTTTTGTTCAATGTTTTCATTTTTTTCCTACCTCATTCTGCAGTTTGTCCTTTTTATTAAGGTCAGACCTAGTTCCCCGTCTTTCCCTCTTTCTTGGGAGATCAGAGCAGAAGCTTGTATTACATTGTTCTGCCTAACTGCACTAAACTTCTCCTTTCTTCCTTGAGAGATTTGTTGGAGGCAGGAACGCCAGTGCTGACTTACTCATTTTTGTCTTTTTCTGAACATTAGCTGTCTCTTAACAGTCTATTAACTGACCTATCTTGCTGTATAATTTCTAGTCTAGTTCGGGAGCTTCTCTTGCTGAGGCAATGCCCTAGTCTACCAACCTTCTTTTCCATGGTTGGTTGTGCTCTTTTTCATGCCCTAGTGTTTATATCTGTCTCTTGCTCAGCACTTTAGCTGTTATGGTTTGCTTACTCCCATCTCCACTACTTTCTTCAGGTTTTTTTTTTTTTCAGGACTGATTTCATGTGTATTTGTTTGCTCCCATTAGTCAGGTCTCCTAGGATCATGTCAAGTGTTGGCAGCCAAAGCTAGTAAGTTTTCAGAATACATCACTACTAACAATTTCATTTGGCTAGTTTCTGATATGCTGAGCACTGTCCTCTTTTGTACACTGGTGGTTCTTTTTTCTTCCTTTTCTGTTTTTGGTTTAGTATCTTCCTATTCCATGCCTCCAGTCCCTTCAATTTTAAACAAAGTACACTTGCTCCCCTTCTTGTCCTGCACTTTGGTCTATCTTTAGTTGATTGTACTTGAGCTAGCTTGCTTGTTCTTTTTTTGAGTTATTTCTATCCACAAGGACATGCTTACTACCTAAATTGCTTTCTCTTTTCCTCACAATGAGATACCTTCTTCTTTTCTTATTTTTTTTTCCCCCTTCCTTGTTTGCTGTTTGTGCCTAATGCTCTAGCTTGTGCTTTTAGCTTAGGTGATGAAATTCTTTCTCAGAGTTCATACAGTGACCCATTCCTTTTAATCTCATCTGTGGGCCCTCAGCTAGAGGAAGCCCATGCTTATTGACTTATGTATGGTCTGTCCTCCACATTGGAGCAATTTTTGCGTTTCTGGAGTATTGCTGTCTTTAGTCATGTCAAAGCTCAAGCTAGTAGCTGTTTTGGTACCATTTAACAGTAATTTCTGGTGCAGATATGCAAAGCCTGGAGAAGCTGCTCAAAGATGCTATTGTGCATGGGCAACCTCGTACACGGAGGCCCTGGAAAAAAATTCTTATCTTGGTGGAAGGAATATACAGGTACAAACTATTCTTTATATTCCTAAGACCCTCCACAGGAGATCTAGCTGCTTAGTATTTGGGTTCCTTTGCCAAATCAAACTATGGATATTATCACTTCATAGTTATTTCATTAATTTCATCGGCGAATTAAATTGAGCTATGTATGTCTCGCATCCTGGACTTTCTGTTGCTAGTACTGTAGCTGCACCTGGTGTTATCACAATGCTTCCCACATCCTGATTAGATTGTAGACATTAGTTAATCTAAACTGATTATTTACTTCAGAACTGAGGTCTTAAATTGCATGTCCATTCCATTCTTTCTGTGCTCACTAGATGATGCTAGTGTGAATGGAATTGTGCAAACTCAATGTTTTTGCTGAGAGTGAGAAGGAGCATGTAGTAAGCTTAGCTGCGTTAGGCATTTAAATCATGGTGACTTTCAGCACAAAATGGAGCATTTTGGAGTGCTACTAATGAAAGCCTAGTCAGTTCTTAAACTTAAAAACAACAGGTAAGTAGATGTCAGATCAGAATACTGATGTTAGGGTGGAAGTAAAAATGAGATAATTAATTTATAAAATTGTCACTGAACATTCCTTTGCCTTAACTTACTGTTGGTGCTACTATTTAGTCTGTATGTCAGCATCCCAGAGATGTTAAATGGGTATAAAGTAGAGCTCTGGGCCCCAGGTGCAAGAAGGAGTTATCTTTCATCTCTCCGTAGAACACAATGTGTCTAGCAAATTCCATGTGTTCATAATTACTGAAAGAGTGAAGAAAAGAAAGCTTAGTGACTTTAGGCTCGATAAGGAGGCCCCAACCATTAAATCAACTTACACTGAATTTCTGTTTCTCAACAGTATGGAGGGATCTATAGTCCGTTTGCCTGAAGTGATTGCCCTTAAGAAGAAGTACAAATCCTATCTGTACCTTGATGAGGCTCATAGTATAGGTGCCCTGGGTCCCAGTGGCCGGGGTGTAGTGGAGTATTTTGGACTCAGTCCTGAAGATGTGGATGTTATGATGGGAACATTCACCAAAAGCTTTGGAGCTGCTGGAGGATACATTGGGGGCAAGAAGGTAAAAAGCTGGGAATGAAACAGTTTCAGGCTGGTGGTGGAGTCCTTCGCTAAGCATTTCAAAGTTGATCTATTTCAAGTAGCCTGCTTTATCCATTTGTTTCATAATCTTACATACTGTCTAGTACAGTGAAAGTGTGTGCAATGCAGAAGAGTCTAGTCTAGTAAAATACCCCATAATTGTATCGTTCTCACATGGTCAGCGATGATACCAGTTTGCAGAATGTACTGTACTGGTGTAATACCCTTTTGGGAACTGCTAGGAGCCAGGAAGGCAGGGATTTCTTAATGTTACTTTTAATGAGACTTGCAAGAAAAATGACAAAAGCTGAAGCTTTTCAGCCTCTTTGGAGGAAAATCCCCTTCTTAGGTTAGTCTGGTAGAATTTATATGTTTGCTTTCTAAAAAGACACTTCTTCCCTTTTTGTTTGGGTTTTTTGTTTTTGTTTTTTTTTTATTGGGTGGGTGTTGGTGGGGGGTTTTGTTTGTTTGTTTGGCTACTGACTCTATTTTATTGGAAAGTACTGCTATAAAGTGTTGCCCTTGTCAAACTTCTCCTTTTGAGAGGGATAGTGTAGATAACTGCATGTGTCCCCTTTCTCATATTCTCAAATATATCTCACAGATCAGGCTTCCAAGCTTTATTTGAGAGTAAAATTCTACCATTTTCCTACCAGGACAGTAATTTTTTAGATACTAATATTGACAACTACTTCAGCCCATCCAAATGAAGATGGCACTTGCAGATGTTCCTCTTGGGGAGTTTACTAGAGTTGGATTAAAATTATTCTGACATCTTCCCTAAAAGAAAGCACCATATTAGTTCTTTTTCCAAACGTAGTGAGCTAGTAGGATTAACTCCCTTGACGTAAGGTGAAGCAGCTAAGAGTCCTTTGCAACTTTTTTTTGGCTACTGTTTGAGGGATTGCTTCAGAGGTAAAAGGCCTTAAATCTTCTTACCTAGTTTATTTCAAAGTCCCTTTACAACTTCCTTTCATTAAACTGTGACTCCAGGCAGACGCAACGTAAAATTGAACACTTCCACATATTTCTAGAATATGTTCCCAGCTTGTGCTATCTACAGGGCCATCATTGTTAGTTTTATGGTAGCAGAAGACAAAATCTGTTCTGGCGTTCATACTGGTCTTTATAATATTTTGTTGGAGTGGTCTGGCTATTTTAGAGTGGTTTTGTTACCGTTAACAAGCAGCAGCCTAGATCTATGGTGTGTTGGTCCTCTGTTCCTATATGACCTGCTTTTGCCCTCTAACAAATGTAGCAGGTATGTTTGACTGGGAAATGCAGGAGGGGTAGGCTGAGGTTCTGGCACTCTTAAATTACACCTGCTGGTTATTTATATTGTGCTGATAAATGGGAGAAAATATTTTGTGACCTATTCCCCTGTTTTGTGGGGAAACAATTAAACTGAGCATGATACATAAGCACCTATGAATCCTGCTCCCCGCTATTTCATTTGTTTTATACTCCCACTGTTAGAATAAACAGTGAAACACAGAATAAACAGTGAAACCCTTTTGAAACACAGCCTGCGCACAGCTTGAGTAATGCAAACACCTTGCTGCAATCCAATGCTGGTGGTGTTAGCTAAATAAGCCTGTTGTAGGCATTTGTCTTTGATCAACACACCTGCTTGCCCTATGACATAATTATGGGTAGTTATGATGCCACTGTTTGCTTTTCAACTGTTTATTACTTGTACCGTAAAATCAGTCCTTGAGATACCTGTTCTCTTCCAGGACATTCTGAAAGAGGTTTCTTGTGGTGGCCCATTTTATTGTGTGATTAAGACATGACAATGAAGTGTTTCTCTGAGTGCTGGGAAGGCAATGTCTGATGCCTCTTGTGTTTTGCTAGGAACTGATTGATTATCTCAGGACATACTCTCACAGTGCTGTGTATGCAACATCACTGTCACCTCCTGTTGTGGAGCAAATCATCACCTCCATGAAGTGCATTATGGGTGAAGATGGTACAACTGTTGGTGAGTCTTTCTAACAGTAAGCATGTGGAAGGGGGAAGCCAAACAGAGCCTCTTTATCACTTTGACAGATAACTCATTCAGTGGGCACATTCATCTTTATCTGTTGGTACACATAGACTTGGAATTTCTGGAGTAATAAACCAATTTACTATCCTACTTGGCAGAGCAGCCTAATAACAGCATAAGGAATTTCCAGCTAGAGGTAAGTCATCTTAGTCTTATCTAAGACGCAGTATTGTCTTGTATTGATTTTTGTTATGTGTCTAGCTTTTCTAGTCTCCTTTCTCTTCCCCGTTGTCTGTCCTTTGTTGTTTGCCTCACTCTTTAGATTGCTTTCAGAATATTTCGCTGTGTATCTTTTACAGTCTTGTGTGCTGGTTACTGCAGGAGCAATGCCTTTGATTTTCATCTTTAGTATCGATGTTTGCACCTCAATTAAAGTAAACACGGGAATATTTCTGAAATCCCTTTTTACTTGGGAAGCTAAAGGCGGTTTTCAAGATCAGTAGACTTAATCCATCAGGAAAAGTAATTCAGCATATTCGTTTTTATTGTCTTAGTTTTCCTTTTTCATTTTAAAAGTAAGAAAGGGGAAATCTGTACTAGTCTCGACATTTAAAGTCAAAACCACAAATTCTCATGTCTCATTTGCCTAGTAAGTAGCAGCTTCCTTCAGTTATAGCATGAAGTAAGTAGTTTGCACTTGTGATGTGTAAGCTGCCTTGAAATTGAAATGGTACAGCACTTTGCATGTAGGATGCTTTCCCTCTTCACGAGTAATTAAGTTGTGAGGAGCTCACACAGGATGACAGTGTATTTTGCTGAGGATCTGTCAGTGACGTTCGGTTCAGAGGCTTTTAGAATTCAAACTGCAGAATATATTTAGTTATGGGAGTTTCAGGCATCTGGCCACGAGGTGGTAGTGTATACTGAAGAACTGTTTGCTTTTGAACATGGGTCATCTAACCAACTAACCTAACAGATAGTTCCTGCAGTGAAAAAGCTCACTGGAGAAATACTTAAGAATTTTTCTGTTGTAACAGGTTTCATTTGGTTTGCTTACATTATCTGAGAACAGAGTTAAGTGCCAGCAATTGGTGTCGGTCGTAGCTCAATAGACAAGTCATCACTGAGGCAGATACAGCCAGGTAGCAGCGTGTATCTGTGCTAGTATTGCTTCTGAGTGGTCCATGTGAGATACCTGTACCAGCCAAGAGTTGTCCCCAGTGCTGCTCTCGAGAATAGATATTAACCAAGCTTCAAACTACTTGAAAAGTTGTGCAAAGGGGCTGGGTCTTGCTGTTGTCTTAAAAGTGACTGTTTGAGCTCTTTCTAGCTGATGAGTTGCCAACAGTCCGTGGTCTGCTCAGGCGTTGCTTGTGTTGGGTTTCTTCCAGTATCTGTTTTGCTTAATGAGTGGGAAGCAAGGAATGTGTAACCGATTTCTGTTTGCAGTATTCAAACTAAGGCGTTTTTGCCCCTTTCTGAGGCTACAGCATGGTATTCGTTCAAGCCAGGAGAATGGAAGCAACTTCTACTCCAGACTGTTCTCCTGCCGTCACGGCAGCAAAATCCATCAGAGCTGAAAGGTGAACGAGATCAGGAACCAATTTGGCAAAAATACAAACTCAAAAGTTTTTTGTTGTAGTGTTGCTTAAAATGCATGTTAGGCTACATTCTGCTAATTTGGTGCTAAGGAGTACCAGAATTCCTAGCCACTCCTATTGAGGAAAAGAAGCAGTTTTGGTGTTGGAAAGCTGTGTCATTTCAAAGAAGCCTCTGTACATCTGATTTCTATACAAACTGTAGCGCTTTTCGGAAGTGCTGGATATAACAGCTGGATAGCCAAAGTCCTGTCCGCTCATACTCGGCAAGGATTTCTCAGCTACAGGTCTTGTGAAAGTGTTACAGGCTTTCTAAGCATCTAAGTCAGCCTTCAGCTAGGATAAGCACCTCATAGGATGATCCCTGCATGAAAGTGTTTTTCTGCACAGTGCTGTTTCCCAGTGATGCATTTTTTTAATTGCCTTAGGGCTTTAGAGATACTATTACTTTGTAGGCATTTTCTGTGGATGAAGTTGGCAAAAGTTCAAGTGGGTGAATTTAGTGGCTGCTTAGTGATAGGATGACAAAGTTTTTTCCTTGTTTAAGGGCTTTGGTTTGGATTCTGTGCAATTAAGGGTGGGGCTCTGGAGGACCACTGCCTGCAGTTGGTTTGACTACGAAAAAATGTGGAGTAGAGTGGTGTTGGTAAGAGTTGTTAACTGTGGAAGACAAGCGGAGAAATAGTGTTAAACTGTGTCACTCATAAGCACCTCTGTAATCTACTGTATATTACAAAAATTTCATTGCTTTTAAACTAGTCAAGCTGAACTAATGAATGAAGGAAAACTGAGTTAGGGAATGGTTTTACAAGGGTACAGGAGTTGGAGATGGAATCAGAAGAGTAGATGGCTGGCTCCCAACCCTGTTTTTTGGGCCACAGCTAAATATTTAATGGCTTCAAGAATGCTTTCTTGAAAAGAGCCTTTGTGGCTTCTTTGCCTGCCTGCTTCTGTTCACCACACACTATTTGTAAAAGCTGCTGCCCTCCATGGCATCAAACCTTTGTGGAAATTGTGATGTCAGATTGAGATGGTCTGTAGCTGAGGAATAAGTAGTAGGAAGCAATTAGTATTTGAGGACGAAAGTGGGTTTTTTGTGTATTGTTTTGCAAGAATAAGTTAATTCTCTCCTCTTGTACTTCAGGTTATTTCTAAATCTTATGGAACACCTGGAGGCTCTAAACTTACAATATAAGGTGTTGTAGTTACTAAAACTTTACATAACTAAAAAAAGTAAATATCTCCTTTCAGATCTTTCGAGCAAGCTGCTCATGACTAAATAGGGTATTAGTAGGAGGCAGCACAGACAAAATACAGATGCTATGAAAAGCTGAATGGCTGCTTATAGAGAACATAAGATGGATGGCATGCAAATGTGCTGCCTGAATTGGTACAGTAGTTTCTTGTGTCTTGACTACTGTTCAAACTAATCTGTTAATTCTCTGTACTGTTTATGCATGTAAGTGACTAGCGTGTCTCGATCTCTCTGAAGACAATTATGGGAATATAATTATATATGAATACAAGTATATTACTTGCTCCTTCATCCCAACAGCAAAAAAAAAAAAACATTCCAACAGCCAAAGCGATGGCAGAGCCATGTTTATGGGTTCTTGGTAGTGGTGCTTCCAGTACTGCTTCTGAAACTCCTCTACATTATTAGCTCAATGCTGTATGTCTGTCCTGTTTTACTTTGCATTACTTGTCTTGCACATAATTGGCTAGAAGACCATCATGTGGTCTTAAACAAAACATTTGGTTTGTGATCACTTTGAGAATTTCTTCAAAGGAACAGTTGTTCTCAAAAGTGGTGAACATCTTGAGCGCGTAGATGTCCTCAGAGAACTCCAGTGGCAATGTATATGGGTATCTCACATATCATCACATTTGGCTTTGATATATAGTCGAGCAAGGTGAGTAGGAGAGATGGAGAAGGCTTCTTTCTGCATATGCAAATTTTTGGAACTTTTTTTCCAATTCAAAGTCACTATGGTTGGAATCGTTGATGAGCAAGTGTTGCAGATGCTTGTGAGCAGTTCAGTGGGTGCTGCTCTTTCTCTCTGTTCAGCCACAAAGATGAATGAACTTCAGATAGTTTTGTGGATAAAGGGGCTTTTTTAAACAATAATACACAATAAGCAGATTTTCTGGGTTCATAGTATACACGAAGATGGCAAATTGATTCCTGGAACGCAGTTCTGGAAACTTGTAGTGTAGAGGCACTTGATTCTTGCTGTTATGTGGTGTCTGGGTTATTTAAATTGGAAAAATGAGGCAGCTTGGTGCTTGTCCTGGTAAATAAGACATTGTTGGGCCTGATGATATTAAGTACTTAACCTGTCTTGGTGAGTTTTTCAGCATCAATGGTTTGGTTTGAGTTGAAAGCTGGATTTTTTGCCATTACAATCTCACTATAGTGGACTGGGAATCCAGTCAGCTCCTTTCTGCCATTTGCATAAGAGCCAGTGATATATCTGTGCAACTGGAGTTCTGTTAGCACTCTTGGTGTTCAGGACCCAGCCTGTTTGTTGCCCTGATAACATCACTAGGGGCAAGTGGAAGAAAAATCATAAAGTAACCCGACTGAGGTGTGGGCAAATCAAAACATGCAAGGTGAAACCAGTCTAGAACTGGTTAACCTCCTTCAGAGATGAAACTTAGTTTGCTCTCCTGTGCATTAAAAACTGAAGGTGAGCCTTAGATCCAGGAGAGTTTTAAGCTTGAATTAAAGCTGGCAGTATTAATGGCTTGTAAAAGAGGTGAACTACTTCCTTCCATGGACTTTAACTCAATAATAGTAATTATGCATATTGATGTTTATAACTAGTTTACTGCCTTCCATCTCAGTTTCAGGAGGCAAATAGCCCACACCCAATCACAGCGCCATACATAGTGTGTATAGAATAAGTTGTGGATAGACCTAACCTAAGATGGCACTTAAATTTTGAATGAACATTGTCTTGACACTGTATAGAAACCAAGGATTATTATTCTACCTAGCTCTGTGCCAAACAATGGAGGTGGTAGTTGCATAGGCCATCCCAGCTGCTAAACTATTGGAAATGAGTAACTAACCTTTGAAGGCTAGTCAGTTAGCTCCATATAGTTTGTTTGGTATTTGTTTCATCTGAGCACCTTAGTTGTGAAGAGCTAGTAGTTGATTACATCTAGTCAGAGGAAACCTTAAAAAAAAAAAAAAATTCTAGTCTTGCCGCTGCTGTGTGCAACAAACTTGAGTGAGTTAAATCAGAAATGGTAGTTAAACCTATTATAGCCAAAGGGAATAAGAATGTACAACTGTGTTGGCGGAGAACTGAACCTGAGCTGTTGAGAAGATAGGACCATTGCTATACTGTTAATATGCACAGGGAGAAGCATGCTGGAAACAAAACTAAG